CTGCCTCCTGCACACCTCCTACTGGGGATGTGCCTGCAACCAAGGTACATGCCCTTGACCGGAATCGAACCTGGGACCCTTGAGTCCGCAGGCCGACGCTCTATCCACTGAGCCAAACCGGTTAGGGCCCAGCTGCAGCTCTTACCATTTACACTCTTCTTCATGCCCCGAGCCTGGGTCAAGGCCACCGGCTTTGAAGCTCCTGTTTGAATCCTGGTTTTGACATTTACTTGGGCAAACCAGCTCATCTCCCTGCCACTTCCCCCTCCCCCCCCAGCACCAGAGCCTCAGTTTCCCCACTTGTAAAATGGGGATATACTGCCTCCCTGGGGCTTTGTGAAATGAAATAAGATACTGTGTAGCCAACGTCCAGGCGAGTTCCTGGCACCAGCAGGCACTTGGTCCAAGGACGCTGTGAGGCTATTCAGGGGGTCGTGTGCAAGTTGTGGAGCTTGGAAGTGAATCTTCCCTCTCGATAGAAATTGAGCCAGCTGCTTTCTGCCACCCTGGTGGCTGTGGAAGGCAGAGGGTAGAGCGGAGGAGGCCCAGGAAGGTAGGAGAGGGAGCGAGCCTGGGGGTGGGGGAGGGGGAGGGAGCCTCATGGATCCTGCAGGGGCCAAGACTGGAGGAGAGCTTGGGCGCTGGGGCCAGGAAGCTTGGGCTTAATGCCAGCCCTGCCGCTTTCCCTGTGTGACCTTGGGCGAGTTATGTGACCTCTGAACCTCGGTTTTCTCATCTGTAAAATGGGGCTGAGCATAGACCCTCCCTCAGGAACGCAGAGCGCCTGGCTGCCGGCAAGCTCTCAGTCTCTCTCTCCTCTGCCAGCAGCCCCCGCGAGCTGTCCGAGTTCCTGTGGGTGGACTTTCTGGTGGACAATGGCACTAGCGGGGGCCTGGCAGTCACTCGCCCTGTCACATGGCAGCTGGAGTACCCAGGCCAGGCTCCTGAAGCAGAGAAGGACAAAATGGTGTGGGAGATCCTGGTATCGGAGCGGGACATACGAGCCCTCGTCCCACTGGCCAAGGTAAGGGGGGCCCCCTCTGCCCTGCCAGGTGGGGGGCCGCGTGAGGGGAAGAGCTTGGGGCTGAGCTCCTCCTGCACCCCCAGGCCGAGGAGCTGGTGAACACAGCACCGCTGACCGGAGTGCCGCGGCGGGTCCCCGTGCGCCTGGTCACCGTGGACAGCGGGGGGGCTCTGGTGGAGGTGACAGAGCACATTGGCTGTGAGTCGGCCAATGCCCAGGTCCTGCAGGTGAGTGGCACGTGCCAGTCCCGCGTGAGCACACAGTTGTGTGCAGTGAGGCACACACAGCTTTCCTCCCTCCCCATTCAGGTCCCCACGAGGCAGCTCCGTGGCCCCAGGGACCTCTTGTGGGTGCCACAGCTCACCTTCCCTTGTTCCCACCACCTCTCCCCCGAGTCCAGTGGGAGCTGAGTGACCCCCGCCCCCAGCTCAGGCCCTGTCACGGTCATCGCTGCGTTGGCGAGTGAACTGCCGTGGGAGAGAGAACAGCATGTACTTGGGGACCAGAAAGTTTCTGTTTGAAACCCTTGGTGATCAGCTAGCTGTGTGGTTGTGGGCAAATCTCTTAACCTCTCTGAGCCTCAGTTTCCCAAGCTTTAAAATGGGAATGCACTTTAGAGATGTTGCAAGAATTAAAAGCAGCCCAATTCACGCCGTAACCGGTTTGGCTCAGTGGATAGAGCGTCGGCCTGCAGACCGAAAGGTCCCAGGTTCGATTCCGGTCAAGGGCATGTACCTTGGTCATCTGGTAATTTGTTTAACCAATCAAAATGTAATATGAAAGCCGAAACCAATTTGGCTCAGTGGATAGAGCGCTGACCTGGGGACTATAAGGTCCCAGGTTCGATTGTCGTCAAGGGTATGTACCTGGGTTGCTGGCACATCCCCAGTGGGAGATGTGCAGGAGGCAGCTGATCGATGTTTCTCTCTCATCGATGTTTCTAACTATCTCTTTCCCTTCCTCTCTGTAAAATCAATAAAAAAATATATTAAAAAATAAAATAAAAGCAGCCCAATTCAGTACGCAGCAGAACGCAGGGGCACAACCAGCAGGTGCTGTTGCTATGACAGTGACATGATAAAAATAGTGCTGATTCTTGTTGGAGCCTCGTCATGCCCCATAAGATAAAACGGGGGCCGGGCAACGCCGCCCACCTTGACATTCTAAGAGCCTGCGTTTCCTAAATCCTGGCCCCTGAGGGGAGAAAGGTGCCTTCGGCCACTGTTGGTGGCACTTGGTCCATGTGTGGGTGGCTCCTACCTCCCTGTAGCAGGGTGCCAGGTGGCTCCAGCATCGAAGTCAGAGTCCAGCACTCAGGCAAATTTTGGGGTTCAAACCCCCCTCTATCAGGAGAAAGGTTCTGTTGTTGGCAAATAGCCAGTTCCCCCAGCTGAGCCCCCCGTGCGCTTGGAGTGGTGGTCCCTCCAGGGAGGCCGACCTGCCTGCCTGGTGAAGTTTTTTTTTTTTTTAAATATATTTTATTGATTTTTTTACAGAGAGGAGGGAAGAGGGATAGAGTGTTAGAAACATCAATGAGAGAGAGACGTCGATCAGCTGCATCCTGCACACCCCCTACTGGGGATGTGCCCGCAACCAAGGTACATGCCCTTGACCGGAGTCGAACCTGGGACCCTTGAGTCCGCAGGCTGACGCTCTATCCACTGAGCCAAACCGGCTACGGCAACTGCCTGGTGAAGTCTTGCTCTCAGGACAGGCATTCCCCGGGCGGGGTCAGGGTGCGCTCTCTGACTCACGCAGGTCCTCCCGGGCATGGCCCACGCCCTGCCCTCCCACAGGTATCCGAGGCCTGTGACGCTGTGTTCGTGACGGGCAAGGAGAGTCGGGGCGCTCGAGGGGTGCGGGTGGACTTCTGGTGGCGCCGGCTGCGGGCCTCGCTGCGGCTGACCATCTGGGCCCCGCTGCTGCCCCTGCGCATCCAGCTGACGGACACCACCCTGGAGCAGGTCCGCGGCTGGAGGGTGCCCAGCCCGGCGGAGGGGTGAGTGGAGGCCTGGAGACGCTGGCCGGCCTGGGCGAAGGTGCTCGGGGACGGACACAGGGCTCCAGCTGGGGTCTGGAAAACTGCCCGGCTGCTTGTGGTTCCTGCCACCATCCGGGCCCTTCATTGCCCAGCCTCTGCCCATCGTGCCAACCTCCACACTCTCCCCCTTCCCCACCGTCCCGCACTTGGATGGTACAGACCCCTTCTCGTATGTCCTCTGACTCGTCCTGTTTGTGCACGGTCTGCCCCTGCACACCCCTTCCCTAGAATGCAAACCCTTGAGGCAGCTCTCTGCTGTGTCCTCAAAGGCTACCATGGCGCCCAGATCAGTAAAGATTGGGGCTCACACACCAGAGCCCAAGGGTGTGAGGCCTCAGGAACCTGAGCTCCGGGCCCTGCGGACAGTAACCCTGTCTCCCCCACGGGTGGGGCTCTCCTGCAGCCACCACCAGGTTCCAATTAGGAGCAGGAGGGAGGGGGCGGGGAGAGCAGCTTGATGGATAGGTACAGGCACCAATCAGGAATGGGGCCGGCACTCAGCGCCTGCCGGTGGAGCGCCTGGCCCAACAGGTGCGC